CCATTTTTTTGTTTTAAAGATTTTTAAGTGAGCTCTATACCCAATGTGGAGCTTGAACTTACAACCCCAAGATCAAGGAATGCTTGCCCCATTGACTGAGCCAGCCAGGCACCCCACTCCTCCCATACTCATAACTACTACATTGTCCTATTTCTCAAAGAGAGAAGAGAATGACATTGGAGATGGGGGAAATCAACTGTGATAGTTTCTAAATAAGAAAATATAAGTTTTTTTTTCATAGAAACCAACTAGGTATCTGGGAAGGCTGTGAGAAGTAAAGGGATTACTATTAAAAGAGGCACGAAGGGGTGCCTTGGTGGCTCAGTTGGTTTAGTGTCTGTTTCCAGCTCAGGTCATGATCTCAGGGTCCTGAGGTCAGGCCCCCTGCTTAGTGGGGTGTCTGCTTCTCCTCCCTCTGCTCCTCCCCCCTATTCATGCATGCTCTCAATCTCTCTCAAAACTTTCAAAAATTAAAAAAAAATAAAAAGAGGTACAAGTTGGTTAAGTGTCAGACTCTTGGTTTTGGCTCAGGTCATGATCTCAGGGTCCTAAGATTGGGCAGGGAGTCTGCTTAAGACATTCTTTCCCTCTCCCTCCTGCCCCTCCACTCTCTCTCAAATAAGGCACAAGACAAGTTGATTGGGGTATCATAGAAGGGCACAATTTTCTCCTTTGTTCCAGCTGACCATGAGGAAAAAAGCAGTCTTCTGATTTTTGAACCAGGAAAAATAGAACGCTTTCCTGAATAAAAGGCTTCAGGGTTCCTTGGGGAAGTTGAGGATGCAGGTGAAAGTGATGTAATTCTAGCAACCCCCTGCCAGTATATGCAGAACAAGTCCCATCAGATGCTTCAAGAAAAAGTGCTCTGGGATCAGGTCCCTATGAGAAACAGATTTTTCTCCTAGAGACTTAGAATGCATAGCAGCAAAGGAAAAGATCTGATAAATCCTGCAGTAAAGAAACCCATTTTATTTAACTCAGATTTTCCCCACATTTAAATTGACCACAGAATCCTTTGTGAGTAAATGAGATGTGTGTGAGAGAGACAGACAGACACAAGAAAATACCCTTTGGAATTGGTGTTCTATGAAACTAATTTTAGAATTTGCAATTTAATAGCAAACACGAAGCTAAATAAAAAGCCATTTTCAGAGGAGGTGAAACCTAACTCTTGTGGCAGTGCAGTCTTACAAAGAGAACTGGAGTAGAGCTGTAGTTTAGGTATGAGAACTATTAGATCTTTATTAGGTAGTAAACAACAAGGAATTGACCGCAAGAAAGGTACCAATTTGGGCCTAGGCAGGATACTCCTTTACAGTTTACCTCAAAATCATATACACAATTGAAAAATTGAGGTTAAAGTAACATTTCTAAATTAAGAAAAACATTTTGTAGAAAAGATAGTCTAACTAGCAGCCATGGCCATGTAGGCTACTAGGTGTAGGTTATCTCAGGTACCTATTTTGCAGAGTCACAAGTTGCTAATAAGCCATCTTATCACCTCAAGGCAGCCACCTGAACCACATCACCTTCAGGTGAAGGAAACCTCCAGGTATGGGCTAGTGTTTCTCATCAGCCTTTTGATGGAGGCTCACCTGACTTCACCCTGCCGCTCACCTATCATGTGCCTACTGGTGAGAGGGGGAGCGAAGATAGTCCTGACCCATCCTGTCCCCTGTGCACCCCGCTCATGAGCTCCACCCTTTCTGCCTGCAATGGAAGGCATCCCTCTCCAGGACAGCAGAGGACTGCTTGCTCTGCTAGGATGTGCCTGGCACACTCAATTTGCTTTTCCCATAGCAATGTATCATTTAGGAGTTACTGATTGCTTCACTTATGGCAGGTTTAGCTCCTGTCGTCTCCTACTGTTTTACGAGGTTGCTACCCTCTGGTTATCTACAGCTTGGCAATATACCCTGATTTTTAGGTCTCTCTGTGCCCCTCTGCCCAGCTGTCCTACTGTATTTTTCTAACATTAGTTTTCCAAATTTTCTTCTTACTTTTCTAAAGTAAACTAGCATGTAACTCTGATATCCCAACAAATCAGGTTGTACAGTGATTAGGAGTCCAGATTCTGGAGCCTAATGATGTAGGTTTGAACCCAATAATCCCCAGCGTACCACCTGGGGACCTATGACAAGTCACTTAACTTCTATCCCTCCCTGTATAGTGGAGATCATCACAGTACCTCCTTCATAGGGTTATTGTGAAGACTGAAATAAGCCATGTAAAAAAAATGTTTAGCATAGAGCTCAGAGCATAAGAAATGTTATATTTGCTCTTTCTAGTATTATTTCTTCTATATTTGCTCTCAAAGTCTTATAGCCTTTCTTCTTGCACTTTATATTTCCCAGGTATACGAATATTATACAGACGCAGTAATTAAACTTCCCATTACATGGACTTATTCTTGCTCCTCACATCACAAAATTAACAGAGCTTCCTATCTTTAAAGTTCATATCCATCTCCCTCGCCCCAAACTGTTCCCAGAACCCTAATTCATTCAGTCTGTCTCATTCTATTTAGATTCTAAAATTTGCTCAGGTGTTGTAACCGAACTGCTTTTCAAGGAATTAGTTTGTTCAACACATTGGGTTCAAGAGAGTAAGGCAATTTAAAACATATAAATATAGGCTCCAATTTCCACTCAGTTCTTTTCTTTTTTAGAGTCCAAAAAGCTAGCTCCATTTGAAGGGCCCAAAGTCTGTTGTTTTCACTCTTTGACAATGTTCTTGCCAAAGAAAGTTTCATCTCAATTTTGGGATGTCCAAAAGTACATTAGAGTTGTATAAACAGATACATGAGCAGAGAAATATTCTTTTTCTGTCTTCACTGTTGAGCAAAATTAAGCTTTATTTTCCCCTGAGGCTGGAGAGAAAAAAATTATTTTTTTTTTCCCTAATAGCACTCTTTTCTGCTGCAGGATATTGCTGTCAAGCAGACTTTCTTTCCAGTTAAACTCATTACTCTCTTCTTGAATCCTGTACTGGCTTCGTGTGAATTCCAGGGTTTCCCTTCTAGGTCTAAGAGCCCTACAACTCCTTTTCACCTAACTCTCCTTGTTGCCAGACCTGACTTCTTCCTCACAGCTATCCATGGCTTGGTCTTCTCATTTACTAAGTGTTTATCCATCACCTACAAATACACAGACTGTCATATGTTAATGTACTACATTACCAATGTGACACTGTTCACAAGGGATCTCGAGTGTGAAAAGTTGTTAGTAACCTGGGCAACCTCTGTACACAGTCCTCATCACCTAAAGACCAGCAAACACATCCATCCTCTCATACGTCAACTCTGTGTCATCTGGGACAGGATGTGGCGAATTCCAAGAACTGCATGTTCACGTCATTGCTTTTCCTATGCGAAGACTCAGATTCAAGCTTCTCCTACTGCACAGTTTATGCTAAACTACCATACTTGATTCAAGTTCTCTGGTAGCTTTGTTGTGTGTGGCCCTTGTCGATAGAGTCTTCTTTGATAGTCCCAAATCACACCAGAGTATTTGGGACTACCAAATATTTCTCAGAGTATTTCTCCAGGGAATAGAACGTCTATGTAATGAGTAGATCCCTGCTGCCAATGTGGTTGGACAATGTGAAGAAGAATGAATGTGAAAAGCTCAGATTCTTACTAGAATAAGGTTTGGTATTCTATGAAATCGTCCACACACAGGTAAAGTTCTACCCGAAACACAACAGCTGCACTACCAGAAAATCTTATTCAAGGCCAGTTAATCCAGAAGCCTATTGATCCTATTGCCCAATATTAGGCTAATTAACATATCACATACACATAATTCTAATGTATAAAAGACTTTTCAAAATGTAGGTTAATCATCAAAAACCAGTTTTGTGAGAAATCCAGATAAGCACATAAACCTTCATTTGTATCTGATGTGGTTTTGAAGGTGTTCTACTTAAAATTTCAAAAATCATAGGCAGTGAGACCCTGTAGATGCTTTACCCCACTTCTAGGCAAGGCTGGTAAGCAAGAAATCCAAAGGCAATAATATGCAGATAGAGGTTAATGTTAATGAATCATTTTAAAAACATGCTTTCTAAAAGAACTTGAAATGGAGTACAGGCAACTCCAACTCAAAGCTCTCTGAAGATTAGTAAGTTTTCCCCCAAAAAATGCCTCGAAATGGAACAGTACAGATAATTCATTCCCAGTCTTCTACTTGAGACTCTGAACTTCAGCTCTGGTACCAAGAGAAGGAAAACCACTCTTCGCCTCATATGAAAAAGGGACAGTTGATAGAAATTCATGCACTGACTTACGAGCAGAGTTTTTCATTCTCATTAAAAGCCAGTTAGTTTTGCTTTTGCTTTGCCTTTCTCTCTCTGGGGGTGTATGTTTTCTTAATGTAAGTTGATTTTAGGTTGTCTCCAGAAATCACTGTCTCCTTAATTAAGTTGGCTGAAACACCAAGTCTCCTTTTAGATCTGACAGATGAAGTCCTAAGTGCTCTCTAAAGTCATGCTCACACGTTCAGTTACAGTAAAAACTCATGTTACTCTGCACAGATGGGATGGTTGCTGAGAGTGTTTTTACTAAAAATGAGCTGCTACTAAATAACCTTCTAATATTAAATTATTTCGATTTATTATATCCTGATATATTCTGATATTCCAACAATGTTCTGAATTCATAAAGTACCTCTTCACCCCAGGGTTTAAAAGTTTCACTCAAACATACATCCATTAATCTCTCAAACTGCCCTATGAAGTCAAAAGAGCATATTCTAACTCTGCATACAAAATACTTCCAGAATGAGCTTATAAATCAGTCCTGTTTTCAGACATATGCACAGAACACTACAATCCTACAGCTCTGCAACGGAGAAACAAAATTCTGCATAGAGATGGATGTTAAATAATCTCCAGTAAATATTTTAAGACTGAAAACAATTTTTTCTACTGTTAAAAAGATACATTTAAAAAACAAACATGTGGCAGATACGAAGTTGCTATAAATTCTGAAAATGGCTTACCTATTAATGTAACTGAGGGCAACATAGGTTGGCTGCTGTAATTCTTGTTTTTCTAAGACACGTGGATCTGTATCTGTAATAAAAACACAATTATGATTTTTCAGCTTTTGCATTAGAATATATGAGGATGCCTAACATAAAGAAATAGGGGCTAAACAGAGAAACAGATTTAACATTGCTCTTTTTAAAGAAAACCCAGGCAGCAAAGCACAATCATTTGTTCATTCATTCATAAATAACAAGATATTACATTACTTTTCAAGGGAATTCCAAACATCAACAGTGATAAAATGTCCATCTGTCACACAAACTCTTGCACAATCCCCCTCATAAATATTGGTTTTCACTGCTTACAGTTACAATGTTGGCATGGTTTTTGGAGGGTAATCGGCCTAAGAAAGAAAGTCTCTGTTAATTATGCTCACTTGAATGCTGGAACAAATTAGTTGCCATTGGAAAGCTCCATCAATTTGAAAACCCACTGAGTATTGTTCTTGTTCACTGAACACTTTTCTGGGTTTGGATTCACATTCTGGAGGGCAGCTCTTCTCCTTTTTAATTGTATAATGGGTTTATTATAACTTTTTCTAGACTCTCATTCAGGAATTCTCATACTGGTTCAGAATCTACAAACACCACATTCATCAGAGGGGCTTTTCTCCTGAAGAGAGCGAATTCAACACCATAGCAACCTTCTGTAATGGTGCCTTTCCAACATGGCGTGCGCACACCTACACAAACTGCACTTTTCACAACTAGAAATGAATTCTCAAGCTTCTCACACAGAGCAATGATTGCACTAAACACATGCAAAACACGGGTTTATGTAATAAAACTATAAAGGGAGGAAACTGCACACGTTTTTATTTTCCTAGAAAAAGGCTCAGCCATTTCACACAGATTTCTTTTCATTATAACCTCATTTAAAAGCATCTCATTATTAGAACTCTTCCAGCTGCACTTGGCAATAACACCTTCTTTGATGTAATGACAGATGTTGTTTCAAGCACCTTTGTACAGGAAGCGTTTACTGCACGGAGTCGATGCAAGATCTACACGCTAACCCCAAAGCACATTAACAGGTGAGGGGGGTGGGGGGTGGGGCGCAGATACAGTGGCACAGAGCACGGGTGGCAAAAATGATAGCATAAAAAATCAATCTGCAATGCTCTTGACTCCCAGACTAAAACTAGGCGGTAGCAGCAATTTTATTTTTGGTGTTAAAGTTAAAAATCTCATGTTCACTTTATTGTTTCTCCTATGCCAAGAATTTCAGAGACATACTATTCAGAAATCCTGCTTCCTGGGTCTTTGCCATCGCAGGTCCTTGAAAGCCAAATTCTGAAACAAGAGACAAAGATTCTCTGAATGGCTCCATCAAGTCGGGTCTCAAGGTTTTGGCAGCACGAGTGAGAACAGATCAGTAACTCCACATTTCCTCTCCCTGCTACAATGATTACATATGCAACTGAGGCTGTTTGTACATCACTAGCCTACAGATACAACCCACGGTTCTCTGCATACTGGAAATCACTCTTCAAGGCAAACTTCATTTTCAAATACCTTTCCTCGTGCTCCTCTAAGTTTGCTGTGACCCCAAAGCATACCTGTGTTTCTGAGGAATGCTTGTGCCCTTTTCCTGTGTTTGCTAGAGAGGAGTCAGTAGGACAACGCTCACCAGGGAAAGGTGTTTTATTTCCAAAATGGTCCATTGGAATGCTGGGCAGGCCATGTGTGCAAATGGTGACTGACAGACCAATCCTGCAAGGTCTTTGTAGGTGCTTAACGAGGTAAGAAACAAGAGATTTGAAACAAAAACCATGAAAATGGAGAGGAAGGTAAGAACGCACAAGGCAATGATTGCAAATGTCTATGTGGAAAATTTCTCAAACGATCACAAAACACTTTGACCTCGAGTGAAGCGCCTGATGATCGAGGTGTTTAGCTTTTGAGACAAGGGCCTGAGCTTGACTCACTAAAACCCATTCCTTCCAAGCCATCTGGTGCACGATTACATAAGGTGTATGATTCTGAAAGAAACACCATCCTGAGTGTAAAATGTCCATTTAAAGGGGAAAAGAGTTAGGAGGCCAATAAACATTTTTATATCTTCCACTGTTGCCTTTCTTCTCGTAACTGATGCTCAGTCTGTTTTCCCACAACCATCCTCTGAAGCTTTCCTTTGTTTCCACATTATAGAAGTTCAGCTATTTTAAATATGGCTTCTCTAAGCTACCTTGACTTTTACTTTTCTTTCCCTAGTGTGTGAGTAGTGAGTAGTAGCGTGAGTAGGTACACACACACAAACACACATGTATATTATTCTTTTCTTCTTCACACCCCAATGTGTCTTTGGGGAAGGGTAAGAAGTACCTTATATAAAATCCTTCAGTTCTCTGATGCTCAGATGAATGATGTTGGCCACTGACATTCACACAAATTATACCTTGTAATTTTCCCACAAAGAATCAAGAATGTTTGCATTCCAGCTGCAAAGGAAGGTACTGAAATACTGTTTCCTTACTTTGTTTCACCAACTTCTATAGCCTATGCTAGACTTATGGTCGCATACCCTCAAATTATTAGTGGTGAAATGGACTTCCAGAAGCTTCCAAATGTCATCCTCTCCATGACAGAAAGACCATCCGGAAGCACCTCGGATAGGATTCTCTTTTCTAGAACGTGGACTCTGCCAACCACAAGAAAGTAGAACTTCCAGACAGACATCCACTAGGCTTTAAACATCTTTTTTGGATTAAACATTTCCTTGGGCAACCTTTAGAACATTCATTAAAGCCTGGAGTTCTTAAAAATGAAATTCGGCACTTGGTGCCCACAAATCAGGAGAGGCCTACACAAGTGCTACTGGAGGAACTGCATCAGCTGCTGGTCGCAAATAAACATCAGCTCCGTCACTCGCTTCCTGGCTGACTGGTGTGCCGTGATCATGACTCACCATTTTATGGATTTAATTACGCCGCTGAGCACTTCACATTCGGTAAAAGTAGAATAGCTGCCTTTATTATTTCTCCCTCCCTGACAGGAAAGTAACTGCCTGCTGCTAGAAACTCTCTACAGGAAAGGATTAGAGCAACAAGAGACGAGGATTTTCACAGCAGGACCATGACGTGCTCCTCAGGAACACGGAGCGTCCATTGTCAGAACGGGCTGGAGAGAGTAACACTATCCCCTGGATATTACTGAATTCAATAAAAAGAATTTCCTTATACAATGTGCCACGCCACTGAGAAATTTTCTGCATACGATGAGCTGCTACAGAAAGAAATGTGATATGAACGCCAATGGCTATGGCCCCAATCTCCCAGATAGCTCCCTGGCTTGTTTGTCTACGGTGCCAATAAAAATCTGAAACTGGAACATCAGCTACCGCGGCGCAGAGATAGAATCCACCTCAGTAAATAGTCTGTGGGAGAGGAACACTTGATTTTTTCATAGCCGCAGGATGCTCCTCAAGCTGGCGACTGGCAAGAAGGCAAGCATTTCTCTAATGTGGCTGTCTACGGCCACATGTAACAGCACTCAACCGCTTTTATAGCACTAAGAAGTGACAAGAAGATAAACCCAAACTTTTTCAGCAGGGCAGGCGACAGCCAAGAAAAGCACGGAGAGGTTCTGGTTTTCTGCCTCATGCCACCCCTTGCTTGCTCACAGATTTCAAGTTGACTGAAGGCTAAGAGGATTCAAATGCTAAGATTTATAAATACCCCAGTGATAGAAACCTATTGGCTTGCTTCAGTTTCTAAAACATCTTCTAAAATAGACGGCGGTGTGCCTCTTCTGGCAACGCTACCTCGGGCTAACAGCTTGAATGCTCAGTTGTACATGAAGGCCTAGACGCAGGCACAAAGTGGAAGATGTCATGTGGTCCTGGTGACTCGTGGCTTCCCAGATTCAGCTGAACGCCAAAGGCTCCCACTACTTCTCAATGTCACAGCACTGGCTCCCACTACTTCTCAAGTGGCGGGGGTGGGGCGTGTGTGTGGGGGGGAAGGCAGAACAGATGGCAGAGGTAAGAGATAGAGAGGATAGCACTCAGACCCTTCTCAATAGGAAGTGGAATTGCAACATGACCAAGGAACGGGCTCAATCAGTAAGGCTCATGCTCATAGGCTCTGCTGTCTCTGGCTTTGGGAAGCAATGGCAGCTAAGGGGATCTGTGACTTATGTTGAACATTTCATCGTGCTATTCTCAAGCCGAAGTGAAAACTATCAAGGTCATTTGCTGGGTTAACTGAGGCTAATCAATAAGAGCATGGGCTTTGGCTCTGCGTTAGGTAGTCTACACTGTTAGGATTTTTTTTTTTAATTTTTATTTATTCATGAGAGAGAGGCAGAGACACAGGCAGAGGGAGAAGCAGGCTCCATGCAGGGAGCCCAACGTGGGACTCGATCGTGGGTCTCCCAGGATCAGGCCCTGGACTGAAGGTGGCGCTAAACTGCTGAGCCACCAGGGCTGCCCACTGTTAGGATTTTATAGACCCAAATTACTTATACATTTAAGAAAGTGAGAAATCAACTGTCCTGCCTCACAACAAGACTACTGAGGTCTCTATTGGTCACAGGCTATTTGCAGGCTGAGAGCGCTATGGGAAGAGGGAGAAATCATGCCCCCTGAGAAGGCCTACAAGTTTTGTGTCTTCCTAACACCAGGCTCTTTTCTCAGTGTGAACAGCCACAGTGGGAGGTGGGGGGGATGGGGAGGATGTGGGTCGGGAGGCAGCGGGCCACTTGCGGTGCTGGAAGACCCTGGAGAGGCAAAGGCCCACCCGGTCAGACACAGGATTTGGGAGATCCGGGCTGGATACACCACTTTTCTTTGGACTCACTCAGTAATAATTAATGGGCACAGTCTGTTCTCAGTCTTCTCCTAATAGCTCAACTCATAAAACCACCGAGTGTTAGTTTATCCAGTGTGGCCATCCACGACGTGCCCCTGGCCGCATTCACCACATCCCTTTCTCTGCACTGCTCTGCTGCCAGCACTGTCCCTGTATTTTGGTCCCTGGGGAGGCATCCTCTGGGTACATCCTTGCCCCCTTCCACACTTCTGAG